ATAGGGTCACGATGAGTTGGAACTCATTCGGAAGCATCTGACAGCCTGCACAGAAAACTAGTGCTGAGTCCCAGGTGACAAATACCAATCAGATGCCAGGTACCACCCAAAAAGACTGCTGGCCCCCAATTCAGGTAACCATCTTGGCATGTGTCCTTGCATGCTCTCTGGCCTTTCTAAGCAAGTGCCACCTGCTTTCACTTTGTGACGTGTTGCTCTCCTGGTCTGCAGCTTGCCTCTGCCTCACATCTCATTCTTGGCGCTTAAGTTGCGGCCTCTCACCTCACCTGGTTTCACCAGCTTCCTCCACCTGTGGATGAGGAGGATCGTCTAAACCAGTGGTTCTTAACCTGTGGGTCACGACCACTTTGGGGGTCGAATGACCTTTTCAGAGGAGTCGCCCGATTTATAACAGTAGCAAAATTACAGTTAAGTAGCAATGAAAATAATTTATTGAGGAACAATAAATTACAACTTGACAAACTGTATTAAAGGGTCACGGCATTAGGAAGGTTGAGAACCAATGGTCTAGACGAGGGGTCCTCAAACTGAGGCCCGCAGGCCACATGCGGCCAGCAGAGGACATTTATCCGGCCCGTCGGGTGTTTCTGCCCCATTTGTTTTTCACTTCAAAATAAGGTGTGCAGTGTGCATAGGAATTTGTCCACAGTTTTTTTCAAAACTATAGTCCAGCCTTCCAACGGGTCTGAGGGGCAGTGAACTGGCCCCATTTAAAAAGTTTGAGGACCCATGGACGTCTGAATTTGGATTTGAGTCTTACCAGTCCCCACAATGCTGTGAGCTATTAATTTAACAGTTCTTAAGTTCTGTGAGCTGTCACAGCAAATTGCAGAACCGTGGGGCATGAGAGAATATACTCAAGACAGGGGTGACGGTTGACATCAGATAATGGAACGGTAGAGAATTTTGCAAAAATCAGATACTGGATACATCCTCAACCTCCACTTCTTGGGACTAGTCTCTTATTAATCTTTCTAAAACAAATTTTTTTTGAAACTAATAGAATCATTTTCATCTGTTTCTCTTTGTTAATGTAACCTCTAAAAGCCCTGGTAGCATAGGGGTTACTAATTGGGCTGCTATCTGCAAGATCATTAGTTCGAAAACATCAGCTGCTCCTGGGGAGAACAGGGCTTTCTACTCCCATAAAGAGTTACAGTCTCAGAAACTCACAAGGGTAGTTCTATCCTGTCCATTAGGGTGACTCTGATTCAGAATTGATTAGATGGCAATAAATTTGAATTTTTTTTGGGGGGGGGCTCTAGAAAAATTTTAATTATATTTGCAGCTTGCAGTATATCCCTACTATACAGCACTTCTCCAGACTGCTAAGCTTGTCCTTCAATGCAGCGTGCTCAATATCTAATTGTATAGCATCTCTGTGCCTCAGTTTCTACACCCATAAAATAGGTACTAATTACAATACCATAAAATAAAATGGTGATACAGATTATAATAAATCCATAAAAGGATTTTTGCTTTCCATGCAGGAAACCAAGTTCAATTTCTAGTGAGCGTACCTCATGCAAAAACCATCCATTTTTCTGAAGATGTTCAAGTGTTGCCATGGTGATGAACAGGTTTTAGCAGGACTTCCAGATTAAAGGAGATTAGGAAGAAAAGGCCTAGCAATCTAGTTTTGAAAACCAAGCAATCCAAAAATCTGATGGAGCCTAACAGCCTCAATCTACCACTCATCATGGGGATGGCATAGGATCAGGCAGCTGGAGAGTCTGAACTCCAGACCTTGTGGTTAGCAGTCCAAAGCTTACCTAGTAGTTCCACCAGAGCTCCAACAATGCCACCATTTCTTCTTAACTCTCATTACAATCCTATCAAAACCCACTTGCTGGTCCAAGGGAGAAAGATTAGGCTATCTGTTCCTATAAAAAAAATTAATAGAAATCTTATGCAGAATCAACTCAGTGGCGATGGGTTATAGCCCTGTCAAAAAAGCCCTGGTGGCGCTGAGGGTTAGGAGTTGAGCTGCTTGCTGCAAAGTGGGTGGTTCAAACCCACCAGCCGCTCAACGGGAGGAAGAAGAGGTTGGCTGCTCCAGTCAAGATAATCTTAGAAACCCTCTATCGAGTAGTGTCAGAGTCAAAATCAACTCAATGGCCCAGAGTTGGTTTAGGTTTTTATAACCCTGTCAGGGAGTTCTGGGGACTCCTTAACAGGGTTACAAAAACATTAAATGCTTGCCTGCCACCCCAAAATTCGGAGGTCTGAACCCACTGGGAGTTCTGAAGCAGAAAGACCTGGAGATCTGCAGCTCTGGATGTCCGCTGGGGCAGCTCTGCTTTGTCTTAGGGTTGCTGTGCGGCACAGCTGACAGCACAGCACACCATCAACAACAGCAGAACCTTGTCTGGACCCCAGGACTTCAATGTCTAGGTTGAATACAGTCTACATCTGTTTGGCCATTCTTCCTAGAGCAGCAGTGTTACCGTGTGATAGAAAATTTAAAGAGTTTACGGATCCTTCACATTTGTACTTATTACTTGGTTTAAGTGTGTGAGAGGGAGAGACACGGTGTTCTTTCTGGAGCAGAGAGAGGGCTTACAATGATGAGAAACTTAAACCGTTAGGAACTTTAGTTGTACGGTGGTTATGTTTGGCTGCAATCCTCAGGGTCAGCAGTTCAAAGCCACCAGCTGCTCAGTTTGAGAAAGATGGGGCTTTCTACTCCCGTTAACAGTTATAGTCTCAGAAATTCACAGGGGCACTTTTCCTCATTCCACGGGGTGGATATGAGTCAGCATCGACTCGATGGCCGTGAGAGTTAGCACCAATAAAAATCTTCCCAAGTCAAGTCTTAACTCCGTAGCCTAACATGATCCATCTACTCAGCTTGTCTTCACTCCAAGAACACCTCAGACTCTTCACTGTTCCTGGAATTTGACTTAAAAATAAAAATCATCTTCCTAGTTCTTAGTCACACCAATTCCCCTTCGAGTTTCTCCTAACACACTCCCAGAAACAATCGAAGCCAAAGTAACCTCCCCTCCAAGATACAATAAAACTTGTCTATATATGCTATATGTTCATCCCATGACAAATGGGATTTATAAACCCAACCATAAAATGTAGAAGGCAAGCACTACATCTTCAAATCTTTCTTCTTCTCTATGTCTGACACAGATCTTCACAAAGAAAAAAGGCAGCATTTGTTTGGCAAATGGAATAATGAAAAGATAATTGTTTTGGTTTTTTTAATCCAATTGGCAGAGAGCGGACTGTGGCTCATGGTGAGCCCACGTGACAGAGCCAAACTACTCCACGGGTTTTTAAGGCTGTTGCCTTTTGGAAGCCAAGAGCCAGGGCTTTCTTCCAAGGTGTCTCTGGGTGGTTCTGAACAACCCGTCTTTCAGTTTGTAGCCAAACATGTCTGCACAACTCAAGGACTAGGTTTGAATTATGAATGGTGCAAATGAAATTACCTGTAAGTACCCAATTTTCATCAACTTCATTTCCCTAACCATGAAATATTTCAGGATTACATAATGGTTACACATTGGGCTACTAACCCCAAAGTCAGCAGCCTAAAACCATAAACCCCTCCTGGGAAGAAAAAAAAATGAGGCTTTCTACTCCAGTAAAGAGCTAGTCTTAACACTCAAGAGGGGCAATCCCACCCTGTCCTATAGGAACGCCATGGGTCCCAATGGTAAGCCACACCAACCATCTTTCATAGGAAGGGTTTCACTCTATTTTTCATGCTCTCATCTTTGCTCCTCAAAACCCTGTGGAGTGTGTTACTAGAATTAAATTGGCTAAGATTCAGAAGAGTAAAGTAACTTCCCTCAATTCCACACAGCTCCGAAATGGCAACTTTGTGACCGGTAACCAGGCCAGTGTCCAGGGCTCCTGCGGTTACTTGAAATTCACCTTGATCACCAGTCCATCCTTACATCTATGCAAGACTTAAATAGCATCCATGGAAGTCTGAACCACAAAAAAGAAGAGAGTGGGCGACTATCCTTGATGGCAACCACAGATGCAAAAAATGTGTGACTGCAAAGGACTTATCTGCCCCTGAAATGGCTGTTCGTTGTTTCGGGGTTTGGGGACTGGGCAAGGGGTAATTTGCAAGGCTAAATTTAAACATGATGATTTTGTTGCACTGTGAAATAGAAATTTCCATCTAAACTACTAACGCCAGTGCCTTTCCAAAAGTTGCACGCCACGCTACACTTACATAAGGCTGCTTTCTATCAAGAACAGTAAAAGGAAGCAGTCGTCTGAGGACACACAGGAGCACCAAAGCCAACGGGCTGTCGATGCTAAACGTTATAAACCACTAACCTTTCCCAGACCTTACAGCCACCAGGACTGGAGCCTTTTAAACGCCCCCACCCCCTCCACGTTATTTGTTAGACATTCCAATTTCACACCAGCCCACACCCACAAAGAACCTCAGTTCAAGTCCACCTCCACTCATGAATGGCCACATTGTTGAGTGCGCTCCCTTCACACTGAAAACTCAGGAACGGAACGGCACGGAGACGGATCCCAACCTCGGCCAAGTGCACTGGCGGTGCCAGGAAAAGCCAGGAATGCGTCCACGGCGCCCGTGCGTCCGGGGCGCACCTCCGTCCCCTCCGCAGACCTGCAGGCCACTCGGGCGGATGCGGGCGGCCCCGCTCCGCCGGCCAGCTTCCAGCGGCCGCCAGCTCACCGGGGAAGCATTCCATCCGGCCCGAGGAGCTGGGCAACCTCCTGCCCACCCACGGGGGTCGGGCGGCGTGCAGCCGGCGCCCAGCACCGGCCCCCGCCGCGCCCCTCCGGCCCTGAGTCGCCCACCGCCCCTGCAGGGAGGCGCCGCAGCCCCGGGTGCCCACTCCCCTGGCTCCCGGGAGGATGCAGAGGAGACCGCGGGAAGGAGGGAGGGAGCAACTCTGGAACGAGCTGCAGCTTGCGGATCCCAGAACCTCTCTCCGCTCCCCGTCGCCGCCCACTCGCCCTCGGCCCCTACGCACCCAGCTCTGCGCGTTATTGCTCAGCTTGACTTTCTTGTAAAGGCCCCCGGGAATCTCCATAGCTGCGGAAGGCGCGCGGGGCCGAGTTTCAGCACGGCCGAAGGGCTGCGAGAGGAGGGGAGGCGGACGTGGGCGGGGCGGGTGGGCGGCGGGGACCTGCTAGCCTGGGCCCGGCGCGCGCTCCACTGCGCACGCGCTAGTGCTCGAAGGCCGGCGCGTTGGCCACGCCTCCAAAGCGAGTGGGGCAGCGACCCGCAGACTGTGGGGCGGGGCGAAGCGGCGCGCGAGCCTGCGAGACAGGAACTGAGGGCGGCGCTTCGACGCTCGGACCCGGGCGACCGCGCGCGTTAGGGCAGGACCCGGGAAGGCAGTCCGACTGGAGCCCGCGGGCCTAGCTCGGGTGGCTGCTGGCGAGGCGCATGCGCAGAGACTGGCCCTGCGTTGAACCGGCCGGTGACCTGGGAAAAAGTGAGGGGCTTGCGCTGGGCGCCAGTCTGCACGCGCTGTGCGTACGTGCTAGCTAATAGCTGGGGCTGAGGCGCTTAAGGCGCTCCAATAAATGAGCTCTAATTCAGGTTTTTCCTCCTTTAACACCGCCGCCCTTGGATTGCGGACCACAAAGTCAGCGTTCTGAGTCCACGAGCAGAAAAACGAGGTTTGTAAATAATATAATCCGAAGAAGGGAATGGTATCCGAGCTTAAATTGTGGACACCTGGTTTGCAGAAGGCTGTGGACAACAGTGGAAACAAAATCCATTTGCAGAGCCCACACATAGATTAAGCCTCCAGAGAATGCCCTCTGACCATAGTCAAGGGGTGTGAATTTCCTTGTTATCGGGCAGAGAGCATTGTAAAGTCAATTATGGTAGATATAGTTAGGTTAAATGTAATTTCTTATTTGACCTCCCTTCTGACTCATTGAAAAGTGGTTTCAGTTAAGAAAAAAAGAAGAAGAAAGTAGGAATTAAGCATCTGTTGAATTCCATCGGACCATAGACTAGGGTTATGACAGCCTTTCTTCCATAAAGATGCAATGGAAAGTGAATTATTTTTAAAAAATCATTTTATTAGGGGCTCATACAACTCTTAGCACAATCCATACATCAGTTATATAAAGCACATTTGTACATTCGTTACCCTCATCAATCTCAAAACATTTGCTCTCCACTTAAGCCCCTGGCATCAGCTCCTCATTTTTCCCCCTCCCTCATGAACCCTTGATACTTTATAAATTATTATTTCGTCATATCTTACACTGTTCGATGGTTCCCTTCACCCACTTTTCTGTTGTCCATCCCCTAGGGAGGAGGTTATATGTAGATCCCTGTAATCAGTTCCCCCTTTCCACCCCACCCTCCAGGTATCACCACTCTCACCACTGGTCCTGAAGGGATCATCCGTCCTCGATTCCCTGTGTTTCCAGTTCCTATCTGTACCAGTGTACATCCTCTGGTGTAGCCAGATTTGTAAGATAGAATTGGGATCATGATGGTGGGGAGGAAGCATTTAGGAACTAGAGGAAAGTTGTATGTTTCATCTTTGGTACACTTCACCCTGACTGGCTCATCTCCTCCTGAATTTCTAGAATTTTTTAAGTCTGTCTGTAGAGAACATTGCCACTCAAGCCCTGGTCATTGATTCCAACCCACCAGCTGCTTAGCTAGAGAAAGAGACGTCCATCTGTGCTTCTAAAGGTTACAGCCTGGGGAACCGTCTGGGTTGTTCTACTCGGTGCTACGGGGTTGCTATGAATGAAGACCCAATCTACTGCAATGAACAGGTTTGGTTTATAGTTAAGGCTAAACCAAAACCCAAACTCACTGCAATTAGCTCAATTCCAACTCACAGCAACCCTCTAGGACAGTAGAACTGCCCCTGTGGGTTTCCAAAGCGGTACCCCTTTATGGGAGTAAAAGAAAGCCACATCATTTTCCCAGAGAGCAGCTGGTGATTTTGAACTGCTGACCTTGCAGTTAGCCCAACGCGTAACCCTCTACACCACCAGGAATACTTTTAGTCAAGGCAGTTCCATCTTATCTACCACTCGGCAGACTTGTGAAGACATTCCACACTAGGGAGATGCTATTGAAGAAAAAACAAAAGTAAGTTACGACCGAAGGAAATTCAATTTCATCTTAAATATGTCCTTATGGTTAACATTCTCATTTATTTCTTATGAGAAAAAACAAGAAGGCAAATAATAAATTTCACAGGGCCCATAAAATATTATAATTACACTTTAAATTTATGGCTTGCCCATAACTCAAATGAGACAGTCCTAGTGAATGGACATAACTTACTATCGTTCTAGATTTTGTTAGCTATGTGACAGACACTGAATAAATCATGTAACTGCTATGGATCTCAGATTTGTCCTCTATGAGCTATAGACTAAAAGGAGTGGTGTATTTGGTTTATTTTACCTTAAAGGATTCTTCCAGCCCTAAAATTATATTAATAATTTAGCTATCATACCTAAAAATGATAAAATAGCCAAAACAACAAATAGTTTTTGCATACAAAGCAATGTGCAGATGATTTCTAAATGCTAGCAGGGCTGGGTGATAAGTAACAGGATACAATACTTCTTTCTGACACTACCCAACGTGAAATATTATCATAACACATCGTTATGTTATTATCACAGCACAATATTACCATCCTTTAATTTGGATGATTTTAAGTTTCTCTTCGAAAAATATTTAAATATGTCATAAGAGCACTTTAAAACATCATTTTCTTGTAAAATAGAACATAGATCTAAAAATGGATCATAAAAATAAATATGTGGCCTAATGAACATTGTAGGGATCACCACCTGGACAA